CATCCTCTCCCCGCCTCCGCCGCCCGACGGCCTCTCCCCTTCCTCCCGGCGGCCCCGCCATCCTCCTTCCCTCCTCCCGGCTCCCTCCGGTCCGCGTCTCCGCCCGGGACCCCGCGGGCCGGCCCCCCCCCCGGGCGCCCCCGCCCCGGCCCCTCCCCGCCGCCGGCCGGGCCCGGCCTGCCTCCCCCGGCCCCGGAGCTGGCCCCGGTCCAGGGGAAAAAATTCCATCCAGCCCCGGGGAGGAGGCGCGGGCGGGGGAGGGAGCGCGCGGGGAGGCCGGCCGGGAGCGTGACGCAGGGCGGAGGGAAGGGACAAAAGGGGCCGGGGCGGCGGGGCGCCGCGCTCCACTTCTCCCTCCCTCCGCCTCCTGCGGCCGGCCCGGCTCTCCCCTCTCCGCTTTCTCCCGCGCCCTCCACCTCTGCGCCCTCGCCTTGTCGCCGCGGTCGCCGCCTCCTGCGCGGTGCATTCTCCTCCCGGTCTCTCCGTCTCTGTGTCTCTCCTCTTCCTCCCCCCCCCCCCCCCCGCCCGCCCCAGCGGGGTCTGCTCCCCTCCTCGCTCTCCCCCCTTCCTGCCCTCCCAGCCTCCTTCCCCTCCCTCCGCTTCGCCACCCCCCGCCCCCCGCGCTGGGGCCCCAAAGGTGAATCAGACCCATAGCTGCCCTTGCAGACGGAGCTCACAGTCTGATGGAGGAGACAGCCCCAGACGCAGACAGTTCCAATGCAGGGCGATCGGGGTATGACAGAGCCAGAGGCCAGCGGCTGTGCGAGCCCAGGGGAGGAAGGAGCCCTTTCGGCTGGAGACAGCCGAAGGGACCTCCGAGAACCGGGAGAAGTTAGATCTGGATGGCCGAGAGGGGGGCTGGCCGCAGCAAGGACGTTCCTGGCAGAGGCTCTAAGGCAGGGAACCGGGGGGCGATTCCGGGAGGACCGCAAAGCAGTCAAGTCCGCCTGGAGCCTTAGAGGACAGGAGCCGAGGAGCTCCGAAGATGCGGCTGAGGCGGTGGGCGGGGCCAGGCTCGAGAGCGTTTTGAAGGCCAGGCTGGGAACTTTCTCCTGGGGGTGACCGGGAGCCGTGGAGGGTGGTAGTCAGGTCTGGACGTCAGAGAGACCCCTCTGGGGCCCTGTGGGGGATGGGTGGAGGGGGCGGATGCCCGGGCTGGGGCTGGGACCGGGACCCTGCGGACAGAAAGGAGAGGGTGGGGCAGAGAATGTGTGCCGGCAGGAGGGACTGGGCACTGACCGACTGTGGGCGTGATGGGGAGGGGAAGACGTGAAGAAGATACAGCCGCCAGGAGTCTGGCCCAGGAACTGAGGGGACAGAAGTTGTTCCCAAATGGGAACCAGGAGGAAGAGGGAACTGGGGAGGATAGGTGCTGCGCGCAGCTCGGAACTTTGTGGGCGTTTGGGTCAGGGGACGTTTAGGGAACACATTCAGGCAGCGGTGGGTATGTGATTCTAGGGCTCCAACAGTGAAAAATGCGTTTGCCTTCCACCCTGCCCCCCAGACACCCAGTACTTGCTGGAGATAGCTTAGGCTTACCAATTTCTTGTGTATCTTTTCAGCCGAATTCTATATATCTATGCACATATATTATGCCACCCCTTTCTCTTTTTTTTGTCCCCAGCTGGGATCACATTGTCCTACACTTTGCTTTTTTAACACTGCGTCTTGAAGAGCCTCCCCTATCCATGCTTATAGACCCAACTTCTCCATTTTAGGGGCTATATAGTATTCCATTGCATACATTATCCATACTTAACTCAGGCAATTGGGAGATTTGTTTTCTTGCATACAGAAACTAATGCTTATGCATATGCAAATTACTTCTTTTAAAAAATGTTTATCTATTTATTTTGAGAGAGAGAGAGAGAGCGCGCGCACACACGAACTGGGGAGGAGCAGAGAGAGAGAATCCCAAGCAGGCTCCACACCATTGGCACATTGCCGGATTCCGTGCGAAGCTCAGGAACCCTGATACCATGACCCAAACCGAAATCAAGAGTTGGATGCCTAACGGACTGAGCCACCCAGGAGCCCCATTTGTTTTTTATTTTTATTTTTATTTTTACTGATTTCTTCCGATGCTCTTAAGCCTCTGAACTCAGATATTGGATACTGACCTCAAAGTCTTTTAAATTTTGTTTTTAATTACTAACGATAGGAATAATGGTAATGACAACACATACCCTTTGCTGAGTGTCTAGTTTGGGGTGGGACCTGGGCTTGGTATTTGTTATAAATCAGATCATCCAGTCATCACAGCAGTCTTACTATTTTTAAAATATTTTTTAATTATTTTATTTATTTTATTTAATATTAATATTTTAGATTTAAATTTTATTTAAATTTAAATATAATTAAAATTAAATTTATTAATATTTTAAATTTAAAATTAATATTTTATTTAATATTTTTAAATATATTAAAAAAATTTTTTTTAATGTTTGTTTATTTTTGAGACAGAGAGAGACAGAGCATGAACGGGGGAGGGGCAGAGAGAGAGGGAGACACAGAATCGGAAGCAGGCTCCAGGCTCTGAGCCATCAGCCCAGAGCCTGACGCGGGGCTCAAACTCACGAACCGTGAGATCGTGACCTGAGCTGAAGTCGGACGCTCAACCGACTGAGCCACCCAGGCGCCCCTAAATATTTTTGATTTAGAGGGAGAGCGTGGGGGGCGGGGGGAGGAGGGGCAGAGAGCAGGAGAGAGAAAATCCCAAGCAGGC